AATTTATTGAACAAAAATGTCACCAAACCTGAACTTATTGAAAAAAATGTCACCAAATCTGAGCCCAATAAAGAAAAATGTCACCAAATCTGAACCTGATTTTTATTTAGGGTAGGCAAAAATCTTCATTATTTTCAAGGGCAGAAGGGAAGAAAATGACACAAAATTGAATGAAAATACGTCAGCAGCATATTTTTAAAATTCAGAATTTAGGATTTTATTTTCTATATAAATATATATTTATATTCAGATTCGATTATGCATTTTATATATTTCTATTTCTGCATTTGTAATTTCTATAAAATAATTAAATTTTTTACAAAGCCAGATTGTAGTTCCCCTCTACAAAAGTCTTGTGTCACTAAAAAATTCGTTTTTTAATAAAGGACTCAAAGGACATTTTTTTGCCTTCAGGACTGAAGATTCCCAAATTAAACAGATTTGTTGTTATTCCTTGTGACAGGCAATCAATTAAAATCAAACTAAAACAAGCAAAAAAAAATCCTCAATTTTAATGGTAAACAGAACAGCAAAAAAAATCTGAATTACTTCAGAATTCTGCCTGTATATTATGTATTATAGATTATAATTATATATTTAATTCATTATCTTACATCATAATTCAGAGATTATATTCCAAGATGAAAGTGAACAACTCTTAATTTATGTATCATGTAAAAATGAAATTAAATTATGAATTTGTGTTTATGATAGAAAATCTCTTTCATAATAGAAAGAAAACCAATAACAGTGAGGCTGTGGTATATTAAAAATAATCAAGGCAGGATGGGGGAGCAGAGCAAAAATAATCTCAAAAAATGAGAAAGAAATATCATAAAAATGCAGGCTCAGAATTTAGGAATTTTAAGCAGTCTGGAAAATTTTATCCCCACAGTTCAAGAAGAAAAGAAACACCCAAGGAACAGCAAGGAAAAAAAAAAGTCTAATTAGCTTTTTTTCAAATATCAATAGTTGTAGAATTTTAGCCTAAATGTTGAAGACAAGAATTATTATGGACTGAGAAATAAAAGGAACATAAAATAATAACAATAAAATAAGAATAACAATAATGATATTGAGGAGAAGAGGGAGAAGAAATAGAAGGGGAAGAGGAAAAAGGGGAAAAAGGAAAAAGAGGAAAAAGGGGAAAAGAGGAAAGGGGAAAAGAGGAAAAAGAGGAAAATTGGGAAAAAGGGGAAAAAGGAAAAAGAGGAAAAAGAGGGAAAAGGGGAAAAAGAGGGGAAAGAGGCGAAAAGAAATAGAAGAAATAGAAGAAATAGAAGAAATAGAAGAAATAAAAGAAATAAAAAAGGAGGAACAGAAGAAATAAAAAAGGAGAAACGGAAGAAATAAAAAAGGAGAAACAAGAAGAAAGAGAAGAAATAAAAAAGAAGAAACAGAAGGAATAGAAGAAGAAAGAGAAGAAAAAGAGGAAAAAGAAAGAATAGAAAAAATAGAAGGAATAGAAGAAGAAGAGGAAAAAGAAGGAATAGAAAAAATAGAAGGAATAGAAGAAAAAGAAGGAATAGAAGAAAAAGAAAAGAAGAAAAAGAAGAAATAGAAGAAAAAGAAAAAGAAGGAATAGAAGAAAAAGAAAAAGAAGGAATAGAAGAAAAAGAAAAAGAAGGAATAGAAGAAAAAGAAGAAAAAGAAGGAATAGAAGAAAAAGAAAGAACAGAACTAGAAATGCTAACTAAATCATATCAAAGCAAATCCTGTGCTTTGGGCAGGTTGAACATTTGGAGATTTTGGAGCTGAATTTTGTGGGACACAGAATTCCCTGGAATGCTGAGGCCAGCCTTACCCATTGGGAGTGCTCCCAACTTTGTCACAAATATCCATGATCAGCCCCCAGTCCTCACTGGTGTTGTACTCATTTGTAGCTTTTTCTGGAAAAAAAAAAAAAATTAAGATTTATGATGGGATTTATTTATTCAGGTCAGGTTCTATCAGTAGAATGGATCCCCAATTGATATTTCATGGATTAATATTAATTATTATTAATATTTCGTGGATTTATGGAATTATTTGGGTTAGAAGTGACCTTAAAGCTCATCTTGTTCCAGCCCCTGTAGTGACACTAATTCTATAAATTAATTAATAAACCCTAATTGTATTTATTTGTGTTTTTAAGTTTTTATTAGCCAGCTTATTTAAATCCCATGTGAACACTGCAGTTCAAGTTAATAAACAGCAAATGAAATATTTTATTGCATTTGCTGCTTCAAGATTAAGTTTTAACCAACTAAATTCAATTTTATTTTGGCAGCTCAGCAGAAACATTTGCACAAAGGGAACACAAACACAGCACCCACCAATGTTCCAAATCCTTTTTGCTACAGAGGTAAAAAAAAAAAAAAAAAAAGGAAATTTAGAATTTTGGCCATAATTCATCTTTCACAAACTGGAATATTTACTTAGAGGAAGTAAATATTATTTTGAAACCACAAACTTTCTTCAAAAATGATAAAATTGCTAAATTTTCTTTTAGGTGCATCAATATTTTAGGACATGAAGAATAAATTCATGGATGGTGTGGAAAATAAATGAGTTTAAATGTAATTTTAAACACTTTAAAAGAAAAAAAAAAAAAGGAAATCAAGGCAGAATTGCCTCTGGAAGCTGCAGATTCCCTGAATGTCCAATCCCTAAGTAGTGATGAGATTCCTATGGATATCCTGAAATACTATAAATAATATATAAATATATAAATATATATATTTTGAATATCCTGAAATGGATCCCAAGAATCCATTGAGGTTTTCCTGAGCCCTGAGTGGAATTCACAACCAGCTTTTCCTGCCATGGCAGAAATAATCCAAAATAAAAGATAAATTCAGCATGGGCACTGATTTACTGAGGTTAATCAAGATATTAATGGATTGATCAGTAAATATCAGGAAGGTAAATAAAAAGGAAGTTTTCACCTTGGAATTATGGAATTATTTAGGTTGGAAAAGCATCCCAAGGTCATGGAGTCCAAGCTGTGCCCAACTGTCCCCAGAGCTCTGAGTGGCAGCTCCAGGAATTCCTGGGACACTCCAGGGATGGGGATCCAAACCCCCCTGGGCACTTCCAATCCCTGAGCCCCCTTTCCATGGGGAAATTCCTGCTCTGCCCACCCTGAGCTCCCCTGAGCCCTGTCCCTGTTCCCTGGGATAAGATCCCAAATCCCCCCGGCTGTCCCCTCCTGTCAGGGAATTCCCACACGGATCCGAGTCTCTCCTCCTGGATCCACACCA